TTCCGCCTGGCGGAACCCTTAATTTGACACTGATCTGCATCTGTTTAATGTTTCCATTGTTGATATATATTATCTTTGGGTACAAGTTTCCATCCCCCCCCCCATTATGCCTGAGTGGTGGGCAGACAGACCGAAGTATTTGTTTTGTGTTTTTAACGTACATATTTCCCCTTGCACCATGCCGTTAAGTCACAAGTAGGCGTGAGAATATAGCTCCACCCATTCTTGACCACTGCACGAGATGGAAGCTCTAGCCGTTTTACCTTTGTGGAAAGATCCATGTTTGATGGAAGGTTGAGTGGATATCAGCTTATCATGTTACATGTTTACTTGAACGTACTTATCCACCTCCATTTTTAAATCGATAATGCAGCGTATTAATTGTATATTGTAAAGGATCCACATTAAATTTCATCTCGAAGTTCATTATCATCAAAATACGAGTATGTGTGAGGTCATTAAATATTATCATTGTCATTGGAGCGTAAAGGTTTTGTTGAGGAAGGGTGTCATATAAGGAATACAATCCTAGTGTGGAATACTACATTGCTGAAACAAAATGTGACAATACTTTAATGAACTACCATGTCGGTTCTTGTTTGGGCAGGCGCCGGTAGCGATACCTGCGTTCGTTTTTGTTCCATGTTGGTAGTCATCGACGTGGTTTTGCACAAACAGGAAATTTGAATACTTCTTTTGGCATATTTTGGACTTCATCCATCGTCTAGTATGTAAAAGACAAAAGACCACGACGTTTAGGAGATTGGATCTGTCTCCGTCTTCAGGTGGGTAGGGAAGGATAAACTTACTCACTTGGGCCCGTTAGAAAGATCTAGTCTCAATCACTGGAAATTCGAGTGTATACAGTGTTGCCATACAGAATGCTCAGGTGCAGGAAAGGTTAGGTCTGTGTGTGAATTCTCAAAATAATGTGGTGAGGAGCGCAGTACATGTTTCAAGTTTAAAATGTGGTATTGAATTTCATAAAAAGGAAGTCGATATCTTAGTATTCCATGTTAGGTTTCATATTGTTGGATGGATGAAATTTGTGTGTCTCAACTAATGTTTCTTTAAATAAAAAATAATAATTTTTCTTTTCAAATATACCGGTAGTTATTGGATTGTATTGTGCACATTTTGTAACATACCATAACATGAAGAATACTGCAACAACAAATGTATCATCGCTTTTAATGTTTAGAGTCAAACCTTTATTTTCCTATATGTTACGTTACGTCCTCGGACATGGTACTCTCCATAATTATTGCTGTGAGTGAGGCAATATGCTACAAGCCGGAAGATCGTGAGTTCCAGTCCCGACGAAGTGTTTCTTTAACAGTATACCTAATCCTTCCAGCCGCACTATGGCCTTGGGGTCGACTCAGCTTCTAACAGAAATGAGTACCAGGAATTTTCCTGGTGGTAAATGGCGGCCGGTGCCTAAGGCTGACAACCTTACCGCCATCTGTGAACCGATTGTCTAGAGAAAATATGGGAGCCTCGACGTATCACAGCAATATGGGCCTTGACGGCCTGCTACAGGAATAGCTTTAGCTTTTTACCTCAGATCCAACATCGTAACACATTTAAAATTGAAAGTTTCACGAAAAAGTGCTTTACAGTATACAAATGGTATTCCATATGTGACACCTTCCCTCTGTATATAAACTTGTAACGATATGTATTGTATAATCTGTGAATACCATAAGAATCTTAGTATATGGAGCAACAGTAACTCTCCCGATAACTGGAGGAACAAGAATGATTTACAGTTGTTATTAGCCTATAGGATCTGTGAAATAATTGAATTTCTTGTAAGTTTCTGTCTGTATTTTGTATGTAAATAATAATAACATTCTCTTTAAATTCATGAAGTACATACGCTGCAAAGCGTAGTATATGCTCTGGTTTTTGTCTTGCTTGCGATGCCAACAGTCTACCTTGTGTTGGTAATGACTCCATTCCTATTTTCCTAAAATACTCGACAGAGCAGGCCGGTTGAGAAAATTGAAAGTTACCATAGACGTTATAACAGTGATTCCCAGACTTACCTCATGTTGGGACCGGTGCCCTGACTGTCTGACGTTATACATTAGAAATGATATTCTACAAATGTTACTGCTATCACACCTAAACGGTTTATTTTTGCTCAGAGTATATTATTAGTGACTGAATAAAGGTGAATGAGATAAGCAAGCCATGTAGTATGCATAGGAGAGGTAAGAAATTGTTATAGAATTTTAGCCGGAAAACCTCAAAGAAAGAGACCATGTGGGAAATTTAGACGCGTGAGATATATAATATTAAAATGTGCCATAAATGAGTTTGATTCATCTTTCTCAGAATAGGGTCCGGTGATGGTCTCCTGTGAATGCGGTTATGAAACTTGGGTTCCGTAAAAGACTGGGAATTTCATGATTGGCAGAGGGAATTTAACTCCTCAAGGAGGACTGATTAATGGAGATATTTTGTGTATCTCTTTTCTGTATATCCGTTGTGCTTGACGTCGCCGAATTCAAATGCTGTTGTGGACTACTCTCTTATAAAGGTTCATAAACGCTTTATAAAAGTGCAGAAATTACAGCTGAAGCAGGAACTCATATTATTCGCTCAATTTTAGAAGGCAGGGAAGCGTATGCAAGGATAACCTTTACGAAGGACATTAAGGGTAAATAGATTTGAGAAATGGAGGTGAATAGAGCAGTGCCTTGTCCAGTGGTAACTTTGGTGTTGATGATGTTCAGTGCTTTTGGCCTCTGTTTAGTGTTATCACTACAGTCCAGTAGCTTAGCACTTAGAAACTTTGTGCTTGTCGTTTGTTATCGACAAACTTCACATGCGGTGGAGAATGTCGGTGTCAAGGATGGACAAAGAACAAACGAACAGCTGCAGTCGGCGACGCCATGACATTGCAAACGTAACATCTGGCATTTCAGAGGATGGGCAGTTCAGCGCACGGAATTCAGTTTGAAGCATATCACAGAAGCCATTAGCTATACTGTAGAAGTCTGTTCTTAAAAAGATCCCTGAAACGAATTCAATTTTGAAGCCTTGATTAGGACAGTGTCTGCATTTTCCAGTTCGCATGTTATGTCGTCCCCAGGGCGATGATAGAGCCATTGTGGAGTACTCTCTTGGAACGTTATTGCCTGGATAAAAATAAATATCCACACTGGTTGCCCTGCTTTATCTGACGGGCCCATAAAATTCTCCTCATTAAGGTTAATTAACCAGTGACAAATTACCAGGACCTGATGGTAATTACATAATTTTAGGTTTTAACTCGTGGATTATCAGGCTGAGTGCAGGAAAATCATTACTGCATTGTTTATCTTATTAGGACTACCCTTTAATAAATCACAACGGGTTTACTTATTTTAATTTTTATGTATTTTAGAGCAAATTGATTTGTTATTTAATTTATATTTTGCGAATTCGATTTTATTAATTTTTCGGCATTACCGTCTCATAATTCTACACCAGCGTTCAACTTGCCAATGGATCTCATACGGAGTTAAAATTTCTTACGGAACCTCCATAACACTCTCGTATGTGAAACCAAGAGGCGAAACCACAAATAAGTGAGAATAATGATAAGTAAATGTTAAAGAAGAATATGAGATCAACACATTTAATGCTTAAGATATAAAGCATACAGGAATATACCGTCTACACAACACCACTCTGTAATTTAAAAACAAAGACGACACTACTGTATCAACATTTGATTTATTAAAGCTTTTATGGAGGCGACATGTTTCGGCCCCTATATCAGGCCATCAACGGGCGTATTGTGTTCGGCTTTAAGCTGCTGAACTGCATCTAATTATCATTCAGTTCACTGAATAAGGATCCTTATTGTGGTTTTGGACTTAATTCAAATATATATAAAATAAGTCTTGGTCAAAATTTCAACTGAATGTACTTAAATAATACAATTAAAATTATAACCCAAAAAGTTTAAAACAAGAGAAATTAAAAAGAAGATGCTGAAGATTAAGACGATAAAAGTTAATTAAAAAAAAATCTTTAGTTATTTAAGTTAGAATTTATAAACCAAACAGGACACGAAACTATTTGGTTTATAAATTCTAACTTAAATAACAAAAGTTAAAAAAATAATATATCAAGACAGCCGCTGTAGTTGTGAAAACTTTGGATTTTGTATCTATTTGTACACTGTAAACATTGTATGTTTATATATTTTAATACTCAGAACACCCATTGTAATAGTGGTTTCCAAACAGTATCGATGTCCCTCTGATGATGGTCTCTAAGGGCGTTAAAAATTGAAGTAAGAAAAACTTCACCAGTCACACTGGACGGAATTGTTTTATCTTTTATAATATTGTTAGTGTGACGGACCAGAATGAAACAAATAAGAAAAAATAAAAATTGTGTATTAATAGGACTATGGGACCGCTACGTGTTGACACAGTAGTGTCATCTTTGTTTTTAAAATACAGAGTGTTGTTGTGTATACGGTATATTCTTGTATGCTTTATATCTTATGTGAGAGACAGTAGGATGCAAGCTATTAATATTTAGTGCTACAGGTTCAGAAACAAAAACTGCATTTCAGGCCTAGAGCGTGCACGTTTGAAAGAGTCATATGTTTAAGAATTTTCATATTTAGTTTACTGTTTAAACGATCTATTGCATTTGAAATACCCGCCTTCGTCTTCACTTGTTACGACGCCATACTTAATGACTGCCCTCCCTCTTCAGTTCCATCCCTCTATCTCTTTCCGATTTTATTACTTCATGTATAAAATTACTGGTATTCCCGCTGGTGATATTTCTTTGCACTGATATGTTTAAATAAAAATCAGTTCGTTCGTGCTGTCTTGCAAATCAAGCCAATAAGTCTGAAACGCTTATCTCAAAAGACAGTGTAATAGTTGTACAGCCTGATATACTTGTACATCTCTGACGTCTCTGACTGTGTGTGTTACACGGAAATTGTCGAACTTAGTTGCCCGAACACAACCGAGCGCGCGGTTTTTCCGTGAGTGAAAGCATAACCTGTGTGCAGAAATGGCGTTGTAGGTTTGTTGTGATTTTAGTTATTTGTTTATTGTGAAAGAGTCGTGTTGAAGTGCGTTATTTCGTTTCCTTAGTTTATTGGACTAGAGACTGAAACAGTTAAGACACAATCTAAAATCAGTGCAATACTACACCCCAGTCACATGGTGGAGCGTGTAATCTGCTGCTTCAGCTAAGAGGCAGTTGAATGGCTGTTGACACCGGTTTCAGTGGTAAGTTACGAAGTTCAAACTAGGATTACACATACCTTTCAAAGTAGTTCTTTGTTATTTTGGACACCTCATTCACTTTGATGTTACTTATTAGTTTTTTTATTGCTAGTGGGGTGGGACTAAGTCCCTTGTACTGCGGCCACTTCTGGCCTATTGTACCAACCCCAGATGATAGGTGAGGGTGATTGTAGAGCAATTGGTGGAATGAAGATTGGCAGGGGAAACCGAAGTACTCGGAGAAAACCTGCCCCAGCGCCACTTTGTCCACCACGAATCCCATTTGACCAGACCCTGGATCGAACCCGGGGCTCCGTGGTGGGAAGCCAGCGACTAACCGCTTTAGCTATGGTGCTTACTTATTAGCTTACACAAGGCCATCATTACAAATATAGTCACCCTGCATTAAGCATATCTCCGTCTATGTGGTTGAAGCTTCGTATGTCGAAAAGTAAATATTGTAGATCCTGTAGATCGTGATCGGACGCTTATTTTATATTACGACCTAATTTGAGACTAACGTTCATAACACACTGATTGCACCTGTGAGAAATGAAATGTAGAAACAATATTTAGTTTGTGTTGCATTAAGCTGTAATATTGCTTTTGGTTCTGTATGGGTGTGAAATTTGGCCTCTGACATTAAGGGAGGAACATAGACTGAGGGTGTTTGAGAACAGGGTGTTGAGGAGAATATTTGGACCGAAGAGGGATGAAGTGACAGGAGGTTGGAGAAAACTGCATAATGAGGAGCTTCATAACTTGTACTCTTCTCCAAGTATAATTAGAATGATCAAGTCAAGGAGGATGAGACGGGCAGGGCATATAGCACGAATGGGGGATAAGAGGAACGCATATAGGATTTTGGTGGGAAAGCCATAAGGAAAGAGACCACTAGGAAGACCAGACGTGGGTGGATGGATAATATTAAAATGGGTCTTAGATGGGGTGATATGGACTTAATTGTTCTGGCTCAGGGTAGGAATCAGTGGAGTGCTCTTGTGAACACGGTAATGAACCTTCGGGTTCTATAAAAATATTGGGAAATTCTTGAGTAACTGCACGACTAGTGGCTTCTCAAAAAGAGCTTAGCTCGATGGAGTTAGTTTTGTTGCATTGATGTTTCAGTATGATACATCAAAATTAACCAATTAATTACTGTGGTTGTTGCCAGATTTCAGAGCAGGAACATCATAAGCGCGCTTGTCATAATATTCTTAATGCGTCCCCAATTTTGTTTGCACGAAGAGCTCTTCTTTTTTTCCTTTTGAGAATCGACAAGATGTGACGTCAGCTTCATGTAAAAGAGACGATATTTGTATGATGCACCCCGAAATGTGATTCTACTTGTAGACCCCATTAAATTTTGCTCCAATACACCCGCGGATCAGAAGATAAACATATAGGTGGACGGACTGGCAATTCGCGCGAGTGTTCATTTTTTTGCATCATTTTCAAATAGGAAGTGTTTTATACGGATGAATAACACTTGATGCGAACACGAGAAATCGATTAGTTACATTTGTTCCCAATTTAGAAATTTGGAATGAACTGGTCGTCCTGAAAGCGTCCAATCAACTCCTGATCCGTCATGTTGACATCAGTTGGAGTCAATCAGCAACGTAGGCAGCTGCCTCTGCGTGTGCGGTTGCAGTTGCCCGTCAAATGCGCAATCCGTATATCTCTGACCATGAAAACCTCTTACGTGTTGGTATCACTTTCTGGAGCCTCACACGGAAACGTAACTTTTTGTAAACATGCATGAAAAAATACAGAATTGTTCCACAATTTGGTGAATGTCAATTTAAAATATCAGGTAGCTATATTACAAGTCTTGCCGGTCACGGTAGCCGAGCGGTCTAAGGCATGTACTGTCTTCGCTCGCTCGGAAGCCGGGATCGTGGGTTCGAATCCCACTGAGGGCATGGATGGTTGTGTGTGTGTTTTTATGTGTTTGTGTACAGGTAGAGGCCTTGCGACGAGCTGATCACCCGCCCAAGGAGTCCTACCGAATGTGTAAGATTTAGAAAAAACCGAAGTGAACGGAGTTCATGGAGGTAGGCCTAGGCCCACTGGGGCTGTAGTGCAAAGGAAAAAAATATTACAAGTCTTGGAATCTTTTTCTCGTGTATGTTATTGCTATGTAAAATTACATGAGTGTGCGCGGTAGCGTAGTTGGTTGGGGCTTTATGGTACAAATCAGAACGTCGCGGATTCGATTCCCGATGTGACCATTGGATTTGATCTAATCCTTCTGGCTGCATTATGGCCCTCGAGGCGACTCAGCCTCTTAACAGAAATGAGTACCAGGAATCTTCCTGAGGGTAAAGAGCGGCCGGCGCTTTAGGCTGACAACCTTACAGCCATTTGTGAACCGATTGTCTAGAAAATGTGGGAGCCTCGACGTCTTAACTATCATATGGGCCTCCATGGCCTTTTACAGGGATAACTTTACCTTTTTATATAAAATTACATATATATAATTATAAATATAAGTAATTAGATCTATGAATTAATTATGGGAGTTACAACTGAACACAATACGTACAGTACAGTACCACTCTGTGGTGTTATAATTAACGATCATGATCTGCCTTGAGCATGTACTGTCTTCGCTCGCTTGAAAACCGGGATCGTGGGTTCGAATCCCACTCAGGGCATGGATGTCTAGTTTGTGTGTGTGCGTTTTTCTGTGTTTGTGTACAGGTAGAGACCTTGCGACGAGCTGATCACCCGCCCAAGGAGTCCTACCGAATGTGTAAGATCTAGAAAGAAAACGAAGTGAACGGAGAAGTTCATGGAGGTAGGCCTAGGCCCGCTGGGGCTGTAGTGCCAAGGGGGGGGATCTCCCTTGATCTACCCTATTTGAGTGTTCCAGTAAAGTAATTACTGCGCAATACGTCTGTAAGAATTTTTAGCCCTAAATGTATTAACTTTACCACCCGAATTTGGGGTCACCTGCTACCCCACCAGGCATGTGCAAGTTTGCAAATCGTAATATAATCTGTCTTGTACTTAATTTAGAAATCGATGCGACTTTCTTTGCTCCCAGTCCACTGTTCAGTGTGTAGGGTTTGTCTTTGGGGTGCATACTTGTATAATCCCACCCTGGTATTTCGTGTTCAAGGACCTTTTAAATTGTCTCCTGTTACTTTCCTGACACCAGATTGTAACATAAGTGGGCATTTATAAAATGATACATTTACTTAGATTACAACAATGACTTTCCACGTTATTCCATTATTCAATAATCATTCTAATATTCGGCACCCAGACCTGTAATCTGAACTGATGAAAGCGTACCTGAATAAAATACTGAAAAAGTTTAATAGTTCCTGTTGTGTATCGTAAACAAGGTACATAAAATGTATGCAAAAGTATGCAGTATACACAACAATAATCTGTATTTAAAACAAAATAGACCCTATCGTATACATTTTACGAATATATGGAAAAATCTTTTGATTGTGTCTATTATTGCTCGGTATCTCAAGGAATAGATCACGTGTGAGACAGACATAATGGGAAGATAGTATTAAATTGGATTTTAGAGCAATCGTTATGGACGTAGTAATTTGATTCAGCTTACTCAGAACAGGTTCAGGCTGTATCTTTTTAACGCTGGGATGAACTTAAGGTTATGTAATTTATCAGCTGAATTCCAACTTTTCAATAAAGACCTTTCGCATACATCATGGAGTTTTAATTCAACTCGGTGATTAACACAGTACGTTTGATTTTTATGTTGTCAACAATACCAGCATGGGAGCTGTGCGAACTTCCGAGGTGAGAACAACATTAGTTCAATTTGTTAAACACTCCTGAATTTCTGTCTTGTGATATTACTCTGTTATGGTATTCGATATTTCAGAATATTCTGCAATCTGGAAGTTTCTAAATCGGTTTTCTTTTTTGGCGCTTTTGTAACCACGCCCATTCGTCAATCTGTCCACGTGTCTGCGCGAATGAAGCAATTGGAAAACTACTTAAAAGAGATTTACATGAAATCTCTTATTCTCAATAGCAATTAAACGAAGCTCGAACCTGAATTAAGAAGTCTACATACACATACAAATATACATTTAGACTCTAAAGGGTTCTGACGATGGTGTATAACACTAAGAATCACTGGGTTTTTGGACCTTATTGATCGTTCCGTATTCTGGAAAGTAGTAAACAACGTTTCGAAAAATGTATCTGTTTCCGTCCTCGGTTGAGGGGGAAGACACTCGGTTGGGTCCCTTAGAAAGAGCTAACCTCAGTTACTGAGTAGGTGTTTTCACCTCTCCCATCACCTGAGGACGGAAACAGATCCAGTTTCCGGAACGTTGTGTTTCTAGTTTCTAGAATACCGGACAATGGAAAAAGTCCAAAAACCCAGTGATTCTAAAATACACATTTGCTTAAAGTGTTCTCGATCCTGGTACCGAAGTACACATATTTTATTCTCTATCGTAGTAAGTCAGTCTATACGGCCATGAATGCGTCAGTTGTTTCAGCGAAAGGTCGAAGTAAAAAGAAAAAGACTCAGCATTGCGTGGAAACTTTCTTTTGTCGGATAACAAGAATATTAGTTACTTACCGCTGGGCCGGGTGATAAGGTGGAGGTGGAAACTGCCATTTCACACGCTTCTTTCTAGCCATAAAATGACGTTTGAAACGCCTTAAGGCCAGCGGTTAAAATCGACACTGTGTATTACGATAATCATCACAGAACATGTAGCTTGGTCGCTGCTGCCACCTATCCTTTTACAGTTATAATCTGATTCTTCTCTAACAAGTCGCTTTCGTTTTTCTCTTTGTCAGTGTTTCCTTGTATTAGATAGGAAAATTGGCCGGTCACGATAGCCGAACGGTCTAAGGCATGTACTGTCTTCGCTCGCTTGGAAACCGGGATCGTGGGTTCGAATCCCACTCACGGCATGGATGTCTAGTTTGTGTGTGTGCGTTTTTCTGTGTTTGTGTACATGTAGAGGCCTTGCGACGAGCTGATCACTCGCCCA